ATTGCTCTGAAATACTTACTTCCCAACAGACTGACATTGGCAGAGATCATGGAGAGGATGTACCTTCAGTTGACCTGCCAGCTGGACCTGGGCCCAAGGGGGCTCTTCACTCCTCCCCGCTCTTGAAGTGTACATTCTGGCCACCGTCCCAGGACGGCCACCTGCAAAGACGTAGCCTTGAGAGAGTAAGGTGTTGAAACCCTCTGGACTGAAGACGTAGCTGAGCCCAGTTAGGGACTCAAATATAAATATAGACCTAAAAAACGTAAGTTTTTACAGTTCTGGCAGGTGCGTGTGGAGAGCCACTGGTCTTGCAGCACCCGAGACAAGCTCCTGATGTAAGTTTCCTTGCTTATTACACCTACCACCTACCAACCTGGAGCGCTCGCCTCTTCCTTTGGTTTCCTTGCCCTCCCATTATGGGGTCAGTTTCAGAGTTCACCAAGGGAACTCCTAGGGTCGCGAACCAACAACTCATTATCAAAATTACCAGAAAACAGCAAGTGTGGTGTAACAGGGCCCATCTCCTCCAGCTCCTGAGCCTGCTCTGCCCAGCGCGCTGATGCACGACATCCTGTTTCCTCCGACGCCACATATACTCGACGGGTATACAGGTGAGGACACTGAGGTTCAGAAACACAATCAACAGGGTTTAAAATGCTTGTGGTGCTACTTTAAGAGCAAGCTCGCAGTTCTTTGTAGGCTCGGGGCTGCCCTGGACCGGGTGCGGTAGCTCGGAGGGCTACCGCCTGTCCACATGCATACAGGATGCTCGCATCTCAGGAGGCTCTGATTGACGTAGGCTTCCCCCTGCACAAGAAAACAGCCTCTAGGGTAGGACAGATACCAGTGAGTAAGGGAGCTCTGCTGTACAAAAACTTAAAAGTGGCTTTTTCTTTTGAAGGTTTTACCTACGTATTTCGGAAAGCCAAGACAGTTGTCTCATCACAACTCATTTGAATAGCCTCAGTTATAGAAGCGTCTAGTCTGTTCATACTCAAATATTTACACATTTTTCAGTTTCCAGACATAAAAATGGCTGTCCTCTGCACTCTATGTTTCTAGCACCAGAGCGGAAGAAAAGGATGAGTTTTCTAGTCAAAAAGTAGCCTCACAAGGAAGACCAACATGTTCTGACTGGGGCCATGGCCAGCCAGCTGGAACCTGCCAGCTAGCAAATGCATCTCAGTTCCCTCTTCTCTTGTTTCCTAAGTCACGAGATGGGGACCTACCCCGGAAAATGGTCAAGACGCTCTAACGAACGCTGTTCTGACCTTTCGTGGGGCGAGAGGGAAGAGTCTGGGCCATTACTTGCTTTACCCCTGCCTTGGTAGTTAGGATAATTAACAGAGAATTTCCTCCCGCCTTTTGGAGTGTGTGTGTGGTAGAAAATGAATTGCCTCTTCCAGGTCTTAGGGAGGCCACAGTGAAGACTTGGATAAGTTTTGTGGTTTGTAACATCTCAAGCAGGTACTCTGAGTTGTTACTTAATGTAACTCATTAAGTTTAATGTTCATTTTAACTGCCTACTTGTAAGCAGTTTAGCTCTCCTTGCAGTCGGAAGAACTGGGTTTCATGACTGATTATTACTCTTATTACAGACTTAATGGTTCCAAGTTCTGGAATGGGTATTTCTTTTATCTTGACCACTTCAGAAAGTTTTTCACCCATGGAGAAAACTGATATTGATTTGACCAATGTTTACTGAGCACCTGCTGGCAGGTACCTTGCTGGGCATGGAGCAGATGGATGTAAAGAACAGTGTTTCTGCCCCCAAGGAGCTGACCATCTAGTCCTCAGTGTGGTCTCCAGACCAGCATAATCAGCATCATCCGAGGATCATTACATTAGAAATGTAAATTCTCAGGCCCCAGCCCAGACCAACTGACTCAGAAACTCTGGGGGTGACCCCCCCTCCAGCCATCTGCCTTGAAAAAGCCTGCTTCAGACAAAGATCATCCTCATCAAATGTCAAAACAACAAATATGTGGTGAGCTTATTAAGCTAAATCTAAAAGTCTCACCTGTCCTTTGAGAAAAGAGGCCCAGAGGCCTAAAGCCAGGTGAGGAGTTGGTGGAAGAACTAAAACCAAAACTCACGTCTCCTGCCGCCACCCCGACTCCTGCATGACCAATGTTCTTTCTATTTCTATTCTGATGCTTTAATCCCTAAATCTAGAGAGAGCCCCAAGCATTGCCCATCCAAAGTGCAAACCTTTGTTTTCATCTGCAAAGACAACAGAAAAACAGAGAAATTACTCTCCTTGAAAATAAAGGCCACTAACAAAAGTTAAAATCTGATCTATCGAAGCCATTCAGTAAATTAGCAGTCATTCTCGAGACCTTTAACAGACATCCAAGTTCCATTTACAATTTGGAAATTGAGAGGGGGGGTCAGGAAAAGAGTAAAAACACAATGAATAATGTGATCAAAATATAATCTAGAAGAATAGACAGTATGCAGAAACGTCAACAGCGGTTCACCTTCTGTGGGAGAATTACCAATCGTCTTCCTTTTCTCCTTTGTATTTTCCTGAATTTTTCCCAATGGTTATTTACTACTTTTGTAATCAAGAAAACAGTAAAAACTGTTTTTTGAAATGTGACATCTGTATCACTCAACATAAAGGTTTATTTTGTAATTCTATTTATTTCCATACAGTAGGATAGTGTGTGTGTAGTAATTATTTACATCATGCCATTTGTTATCATGGAGATGAAATTCGGTAAATATATTCCTTCCAGCTGGCACTGCAAATGAAGCGGTTAAATGCTTTCCTAGGTTCAAAGCACTATGAATTGAGACGAGCTAACTGTGAAGCTAAAGGAAAAATGAACCCCAGTATTGAGACCTCTGAGAGCATCTCTCTTGAAAAACATTGATGTGACACTTGGCTCCTTATTCACATCTCCCTGATGTTTAACCCTGGCACAAAACAGAAGGTTTGGCAATTCCTGGCAAAGTCTTAAGAGTTCAGGGGATAAAATTCATGGGAGAATATCAGAGAAATAAGAAAGAGAATGACCCTACTTTCACATAAAATTCCATCCCTGTGGAGAATCAGACATCCAAAATTACTGGCAAATTTCTTTGTCCTCAATAATCATAATTTTTTTTCTTTCTCAAGAAATGTTTGCCCATTAAAAAAAAATCTATGTTGGCTATCTCATTCCACAAATCAAAAAGAAAGACTACCTCATTTAAAGAGACATTTCTGCCACAAAAACATTGTGGTACTGCTTCATTTGGTAAGATAAATTTGTCACTTGAAGAAAACCTGGCATTGTTTTACTGAAACTCTCAGCAGTATAAACTCAGTGCATGTTAATTAAAGTTTCTTAAAGGAGACAGGGAAATAGAGTCAAGAACAAATGTAATTACTGCGGAAAAGGAAATGCCAGCCGCTATCTACCTCATCAAAATGCCTCACAATAACTGACATTCCTAGAATTTACACTTTCAGGGAAGGACAAATTGTCTGGAGTAAAATAGATGTATCATATATACAATATATTATATATATAGTAATATCCCAACATTTACAGCATGTAAGATAGCCATATCTACACAAGAGTTTAGCTTGACTGTAGTATCAGGGAACTCGGAATTTATCATCTTGGTTTTCGCTGTTCAGCATGCAAGCTTTTGCTTACAAAGGTGTATCTCTGAAGACTCTCAAATTTCCCTCAGTCCTCTACTTGCTTTCTGTCACAGGACAACCCACCCACTGCAAAATTAACAAATTAATAATAAGGATAAAGAACATAAAGACTATACAACTCACAGAAAGTTTCTCACCAACCCCTCCATGCCCACTCCAGACAAACTACCTGTCCACCTGTGAAAACTGACCTATAAAACAGCCTTACCTATTAAGCCAAATCTAATAGTTTCGGTCTAACACTTTTTGACAGAACACACACAAACTTGAAGCTCAGTCTCTAACTCCATTCAGACATGTTTAAGCCTAGTTCTTATTCCTCCATCTCTCATCCCCCTCCCGCTGCTGAGAAAAGGGTCCAGTGTTAGGTTTTACCTACTACTGCTTATTTTTGCAGTTTTACTTTGGGACTGCTAAAAGGTATTGATCAAAAGCTACCTGCAGATCTAGCTAGTGAGCATTGATAAATGCTGAGGAAACAATTCCAAGCCAAGAGCATGACCCAGAACATCTTCAATTTGTAGCAAAGAAATGCCACTCCTCTCCACAAGAGAGAAATAACGTTCCTATTCCATCGAATAATTAATAATAATAATAATAATAATAATAATGATAATTAATGATAATGATAATAATAATAATAATAAGAATATATAGCAGCTTTCATTCTGAACAAAATTTAATTTTCTGGGTCACTTCCCTTCCCTGTCTCACTAGGCCACTTCTTACGCAGCCTGACAGTGTCTGTAAACATGGTCCCTTCAGGCAACCCGTCTAGCTGTCATCCTTCAAGAGCAAATACCTACCGGTCCCTTTTCTGCCGCAGTCCCCAGACAGCCGACCTCACCGCCCACCCCTGCCCCCTACACCTCACCGCTCGCTTTCTTTGCTTCCAAACCACAAATGGGCGAGCTTATTTAGAGAAAAAGTTAATGAACGTCCGCTTTTGAGGTAAAGCCGTCCTACCTGTGATCACAGGATCAGAAGAGTGGAAGCACCTAAAAGCCTGTACCCTCTGCAAGCTCGTCCCGGCCGGTGAGCGCCTCACACCCAGAAACCCAGGAACATGATTTATATGCAGACCTGCACCCATCCCACACAACTCCACACGCCAGCTTGCCTAACCACTTATGTAAGCTCGCGCCTCTACAGTCCCAAACTGCACACACACACGCACACATACACAAACACACACACACGTATCTGAAGTGGACAAGCATCCACACCCAGGAGATGAAATGAAATCGACGCACATAAATTTGCGGGTGAGGGACATACCGTTTTAAAGCATCTTTCCCCCCATTTGTTTCCTGACCATTTTTATAACAACTACAATTACCTTAGCAACCAAAGAATTGCCTTGACTCCCCCTCCGGCTTCTGGATTTCTCCTAACGCCAAGCTTGCGCCAGGTTCATGGTAAAGCTAGAAGAGCCCTGGGATCGAGGGGCCGGCAGCCTCTTAAGGGCGGAGGGGACGTCTCTGTCCGTCCCCGCGCGGCTCTGCAACGTCTCGCCTGCTTTTCCGAGTTTCCGCGGTGGCGAGCGCCGGCGCTCAGCGAGCGGACTGGGAAGCCGGGGGCCGGCGAGGAGGCGCGGCGGGTCGCATGGTGCCAGAGCGCGGGGCGCTCGGGTGTCTCCGGCGCGCTAGGGCGGCCCGCTCTGCGCGCTCCCGGGCGCTCGCCCCTCGCCCGCCTCTCGCGCCCCAGGCCGGCGGGGTCCGCGAGCTTGGTCCGCCCCCTCGG